GGACAGGGGAGACCAGGACACAGACAGGGACAGGGGAGACCAGGACAGGGATGAAACAAGCAACAGAAGAGAGAAGAGAGTCAGAAGTCGTGGATCTTGGGGAAGTACCTGGGGTGGGAATGGCCAGGAAGGGTAATGAAACTTGGTATGGGGGGGGGATGGAAACCAACTGTGGCCCACAGGACAGACCCCCTCCCTTCCCTGAGGTGGAGGTGGGGAAGAGGGACAAGGAGAAAGGAGTTCCATACTTAGCTTAATCGGGAAGGTGACATACCTACCCACCCCTCCCCTCACAGGGGGTGAAGGGGAGGAGGTGGCCATGGGGAGGGGGAGGGGCTGGGAGAGATGGGGGAGGGCTGGTCCTCCCCCCACCCAGGGCCCAGGCACCCACCTCTTCCACCTTCTGGGGAGAGAGGGCACAGGGTCAGAGGTGGACCAGGTGTGCCCCAACCCAGCTCCCTAGCCCCACCAAGGGGTCCCCAAAGCAGCAGCACAAGGACGGGCAGGGGGCAGAGCCTGCCCCCCAACTGTGAGGGGGACAAGGCCCCCAGAACACAGCGTGGAGCACAAAGGGGCAAGGGACACCAGGAGCAGGGCCATGAGGGAGGCAGAGCTTACTGAGAAGAGGGGAAGGACGGAGAATGAACAGGTGAGAGAAGTTGAGTGGGGAGGGGGAGAGGAGGGGAAGAAACCTGGCCAGAGGGAAGGTCACAAGAGAAGAGGAAGGAGAAGAGAAAGAGAGAGAGAAGGAGAAAGAGAAAAGCTAAAGAAGAAAAGAGAAGAGAAAGAGAAAATGAAGAAAAGAAAGAGAAGATAAAGAGAAAATAAAGAAAAAGAAAGAGAAGAGAAAGAGAAAATAAAGAAAAAGAAAGAGAAAGGGGAGAGCAACATAGAACAAGGGAGGAGAAGGAGAAAGAAAGGGAGGAGAAAGCAAGAATGGAAGGAAGGCCCAGAGGTAGGCAGACGAGGGGCCAGCAGGCGCAAACTGCAGCAGCAATCCCAGGCACCCGCCCTGGTCCCACTATGCTGCCCCTGCCCTGCCCAGGCCCTCCCAGCACCACAGGCGGACACCTCTCTGTCTCTGCATTCTCCTCCGTGCTCTCTGGGGCTGCCAGGGGCTCCAGGCTTGTAGGGCCTTGTGGAAGTATGTCCCCCAGCTCCTGGGGGGTATCCCCACCTGTGGGTAGAGGAGAAAACAGCTGGCTAGCGAGGTCTACCCTGACTGCACTGGGACAGCCCTTCCCAGGAGACAGTCTGACTGCAGCGCTAGGAGGGATAAGGTTCATTGGCACAGCACTTGGCTAGGACCCACCAGTGAGGGTGACAGAGGGCTTGCCTAGCAGAAATAAGGGAAAAGTTTCAATCCCCAGTGCTGAAAACCCCCAAAACAACAAAACAAGGAACCTAGTTCAGGGTGAGGAGACATGTGCTGGGACAGAGGTCAGAACCCAAGAAGAAGGCTGTGGAAAGGGTAAACTGAGGTAGGGGGAAATCACTACTCCTGACCAGGAGCTGGAAAAAAGATGCTACAAACAAAGGAGAGATTCCTAATGGAGACAGTGGCTTCCATCTGAGTGAGGGCTGAGGGGTTGGTGGCATTCCAGTCCCCACTCCGAAACGCTCACCAGGTTCCCGGTGGTCAGGGCTGTCCACAGACAGAGGGTGCAGAGAGACTCCTGGGTTGTCCTGCCCAGGAGTCCCAACAGTCCTGTCCCGAGAAGGCATACCCAGGCCTCCCTTCCGGTCTGTAGGGCCTGGCTTCTCACCTGGGGAGACAGCAAGGAAGAAGTGGAAATTTAAAAAAAAAAAAAATAGAGGCTTCAGGTCCCATCTGCCACTATACCCCAGGGGAACCAAGACACTGTGTTCTTAGCCTTCTTAATCACAGCAGACCATCCTTTCTTGCTCAAGGTTCAGGGATTCCCTACAAACAATCTTCTCCCTTAGACACAAAGGTCCAGGCCCAGCCTCCTCCCTCAGACCCAGGGGTCCAGCCCCAGCCCTCCTCCTTCAGGCACAGGGGTCCAGACCCCACCCTCCTCCCTAGATACAGGGGTCCAGGCCCAAACCTCCTCCCTCAGATCTAGGATGGATACCCTAGCTATGAGTCCATTACCATCAACCTCGACCTTTAGATGTCGAAAATCTGGAGCTGAAACAAAAGAATGGGACAGTGAGCTGTAATGGCCTGGGTCAACAGGGCAGGCAAGGCTTAGGCTAGCCCTCTTACCAGGTGGCTCTCCCCGGTTCCAACGAGCAGGGTCTAGGATACTGCTCAGCCCCTTTTTTGTCTTGGGGGGTTCGTCTGACCGCCGATTGCCCATCACCTGTGGGAAGAGGGGGAAAGGGAAGACTAATATTTCCAAAATGATACAAAGCAGAAAAGGACTCCAGGTGTTCAGTCTCCAAGCCTAGTTCCCCAGGGGCAACTCAAAGAGGAGAGGGCCAGACTTGACCTCAGCACCTTTTTCCGGAAGAAGTTCCTCCCTGACTTCTTGTCCCCACTCTTGGTCCGAACTCCAAGGTGGCGCATGTACAGGCTGATGGCAGTGACCACAGCGGCACTGAGGGGGAGACAGTGAGGTGAGGCCCCAGTTACAGACAGACAGGAGCACACTAGTCCTTAGAGAGAAAGACACAGTTCCCCACAACCCCTTAGCCACTTCCTGTGGTTAGAGGAGCAAGGGTGATGCTCCAGGGAGCATAGCTCCCCACAGCCCAGACCATCCGCCTTTCTCTCCCAACACTTTCCACGGCCATCACCTCTTTTCTTCATCTGTAGAGATGGTATGTCTGCAAAGAGAAGAAACTTACAATAAAACCATGCAGCCTGGCTTCCTTGTGCACCAGGGCACACTTCTGGGCTGCTATCTCTTTAATAAACAGGGTGAGAAGAAGGGAAAGTGGATTAGGAGGGCCTTGGAAGGTCCATTCCAGAGGACAAGTGCTAGGCCCGAACATGGACAAGGCCCAGAAATGTCAATAGAACCCCAAAGTTCTAAGAGTTAGGCTGAGTGACACCTCTACTCTTGTGGTGCGAGAATAGTAACACTAAGGCTCTGATAGCGAGGGAGCCGCTTGCGGGGCGGGACTCCTAGGCCACTCACTGCATCTCTTCCAGGTGGGAGAGCAGCCGCTCTGCAACGTGCCGCTCCCGGGCCTCGTAGTTGCTGCGGTCTTTCCCAATCCACGGTTCCAGCAGGCTCAGCTCCTGCTCCCAGGGCGTCATGCCCATGAGCCGCTTGGAGCGGAAGTCCTCCAGCTGACGGCTCACGGCTGCTTGCTGGCTCTGCACCACTTCTTGCATGAACCTCTTCTGGACATCCTCAGAGATGAGGTCAGGCCTCGTGCGGTCTACAGATATGTATGCAAGGGCTGGTGTTCATATTCAAGGGGGTCTGGCTCCCACCTTGGATCAGTGTCCCCACCCACCCACGGATTCCAATGTTTCCCTGGGCTGCCGCCACCAAGAACAGATTCAGGAATCATGGCTTCCAACCCAGGACTCTCCTGGGAGGCAAATCCCTGCCAGAGACCACTCCTCTCCTTACCAAGTTCAAAAGCGACGTTGGGAGGAACTGGCACCCGCAGAACCTGCTCAGAGGAGACAGGAGTGAGTAGCAGGAGATACACCTCAGGAGGCCTTGGTGGGAAGGGTCTGAGGGGAGACACTGGGGAGGGCCAGGGTTGGCAGTCACCTCCACAGGTGGACACTGGGAGGCGCACTATAACTCCTCAGAGCTACAAAGGGGTAAAGGCCTGGTGGCAGGAGGCGTCTCTTACCGCAGTCTTCTCCAGGAAGCTGTGATAGAAATCGAGGAAGGCCTTCTTGGCTTCTTTGGGGCCCAGGGAACTCAGCATGTCCGCATGTAGGCAGCAGAGCTAGGGACACACGGAGTGTGACTCTTTCCTGGCCCCACCAATCACATGCCCTCTTTGGAGAGCCTAAGTGGTTTTCTGACCACTGGATGTCTGTGGGGTCCGAACATGACCTCCCCTGTGAAGTACACCCTGACTTCTCTACCCTAAACGCCAACTCCACAGCGTCGCTTTTCCTTTGCAATTCTTACTAGCCAGCTAATCTAAGAATCTGGGGGTACCCAGAGGCCATTCTGAGCCCTTCATACACATTCAAGAACCTATCCCATCAGAGACCATCACTATCACACTTTGCAGGAAACACTGAACCAGGGGCAGTGGTGCATGACTATAACCCTATCACTTTCCAGGCAGAAGCAGGAGGATCGGGAGTTTAAGGTCATCCTTGAGCACACAGAGAGTGTGAGGCCAGGCCCGGCTACAGACTCTACTGCCTCTAAAAAGCTGTGGGAAAATGGGAGTTCAAGCTAAGAGTGCTGGCACAGGCCTGCAATCCCAGCCTGGAGAGTTCAGGCAGGAAGACCAGGAGTTCAAGGTCTCTGTCTCAAAAAATAAATCACCACCACAAGGAAGGAGAGAAAACCTCAAAATACAAGGTAAAGCCAGCATCACCGGCACACCCCAATGTTCTGAAAACAGAAGCAGGAGGACCACTGCGGGTTCAAGGCCACCCTGGGTGGGCTTGAGCAAATCAAAGGAGGGGCTACAAGAGGGTTCGGAAGGGAAAGCACAGGCACCATGGGCATCACGAGCACCCAAGTCTGCAGCTCTAGTACCCGTTAAAAACTAAGCCTGGAGGGCTGGAGAGATGGCTCAGAGGTTAAGAGCACTGACTGTTCTTCCAGAGATCCTGAGTTCAATTCCCAGCAACCACATGGTGGCTCACAGCCATCTATAATGAGATCTGGTGCCCTCTTCTGGCATGCAAACATACATGGAAGGAATGTTGTATACATAATAAATAAATAAATAAGGGGGAAAAAAAAAAGAAGCCTGGCAGCCTGTGCCTGGAGCTCACGGCTTGGTCAGATGAGCTCCCTGATCATGAGACCCTGTCTTAAAAATAATGTAGCTAGCCAGGCGGAAGTGGCACACGCCTTTAATCCCAGTCCTTGGGAGGTAGAGGCAGGAGGATCTCTTTGAGTTTGAGGCCAGCCTGGTATACAGATCAAGTTCCAGGACAGAGAAACCCTGTCTTGGAAAAACAAAACAACAACAAAACAAACAATACAATTTAAAAAAGAGAAAGAACACAAAGTAGAGAGAGATCAAGGAAAGACACCCAGCGTTGACCATGAGCACCCACATGAGCACATACATATATCACATAATACATTAAAATGAGGATTGGGATATAGCTCAGTGGTAGAGTACTTGCCTAGCACGGCTAAGGCCTGGGTTAAGTACTTAATAACAATAATAAAGATATAGGCCTGCTCAATGTCCCATGGCAAAGTTGGGTTCAAAGGCAGGCAGCTTGTCTCTGACTGTCTAGAAATACTGTGAGCAGTTTGGCTGGGGTGCAGAATGGGTTCTGATTCCTGTATGCTCAGACCAGTGCAGTGTACAGTGAGAGCTGGACAGACAGGCAGACGAGCGGGGCTTACTCATTTACTCCAGGCATCTCCTGAGGTTGCCTGTGTGTCAGCCTTGGAGGGGCGACCCTGGGAATGCAGAGGGACTCTGCCGGTCCTGGCTCCCACAGCTGCTGCCTGGCGGGTGTGTGCTTGAGGACTCACTCCAGTACAGGCAGAACTTTTTATATTTATTGGTTTCAACAGATCGATGTCTATTCTCATGAATATGGTGGGGTGCAGAAGCTGCATAAAGACAGCTCTCACAAAGCCAGAAGCCATCTGTGTCACCTCAGTTTCCACATCAGTAGAACAGAACAGTTAGCATGCTTTTCTGAAGGATGTAGGTGGGAAGATTGTGTCAGTTTTTCAATTTTCTAAAGCGTGGTATCAGGACAACTAGCCCCAGCCTTGCAGTTCATGTCTTTTTTCTTGAGACAAGGTCTCATGTAGCCTAGGCTGGCCTTAGACTTATGTAGCTAAGGATGACCTTGAACTTTTTTTAAAAATTTATTTAATTTTATTTTATGTGCATTGGGGTGAGGGTGTCAGATCCCCTGGAACTGGAGTTGTAGACAGTTATGAGCCACCATATGATTGCTGGGAATTGAACCCAGGTCCTCTGGAAGAGCAGCCAGTGTTGTCTCTCCAGCCCAACCTTAAACTCTTGATCCTTCTCCCTTCTCTTGCTGAGAGCTGGGGTTACAGGCCTGGGTCACTATGTTTGTTATGTGATGCTGAGGCTCAAACCCAGGCTAGTCATGTATTCTACCAACCGAGCTACATCCAGCATGCCCCTCTCTCTTCACCTCTGGGTGTCCCAGTCCTTGATTTCTTTTAGTCTCTTAGTTTTCTGGGGGAGTCAAGGTGTATCTTCATGTAGTACAGTGTCCTGGGTCACCTTCTGGCAAGTTGCTTGTGCTGGGTGCTACTAAGTCTTCTTAGGAAAGGATCTAACCTCCCCCCACCAGTGCTGTAGCTTCTTGCTAAATCAAGGGGCTGAAGTTTTCTACTCTATAGGTGTTTTTGGACCACATGGTTCTATATCTGCATCTCCCAGTATCTTCTGTCTAGCCCTGACAGTTTTTTTTTTTTTTATTTGAAGCCAGGTCTTGCCTCAGTTGACCATGAAGGTGTGGCAATCCTCCTGCCTCAGTTTTCCACATGCTAGGATCACAGGTGTCAGGCTAAGCTCAGGAAGTTTCTAGGTTAGCAACCACATGGGGTTTGCCTGGGTATGTGATCAAGGTCTGCGGTGCCCTCCAGGTCTGAGCTGGCTAATGGCACCAAATCCTGAATGCCTGACTAGTGACACCAGCTGGAAAAGCCTTGCTGGGCGCCCCTCCAAGTCCCCCTGGGTGAGTGGCAGGGCTACCAGTTGGAGAGGCTGTCACAGGCCTGGAAGAGCACTGAACATCGTTTCTGCCAGGACGCTGGGTTCCACTGACTCTTAGTGTATGTACTTAGGCCTTGATTCACTGCTTTCTGAGGCTCACGGGGGCATCTGCAAGTCCTTCTAGATCACATGCCTGCTTTCTCCTTCTTGTCTGCAGTCCTATCTCTCGAACTCACGCTGTGTTCTGGATTTTCCAGAGTCTCTTGGCTGATCCTCACTGGTCTAGTCAGCTCTCTGAAAGTCTGATCTGCTCAACCTCATTCCTCCTCTATCCCCCATACTCCCTCCTGCATCCTTACCAGGGGTCCTGGCTCAAACTGCAGGGCCACATGCTGCAGGAGGGCCATGAGATGGGCCGGGCGTCGCTTTACCTGCTCCAGGCTCTGGAACTGGCTGTTTTGATCTTCCGAGTTCTGGAGGGTGGAGACAAGGGTGCTGAGTGCCACAGAGAAAGAAGAGGCCTCTCAGGCTTGCCCTACCCAGTCCCTGGCACTTCTCAATGACTCTAAGACAGGGAAGATCCCGGAAGAGTGGGTGGATATGTCTACACTACAACCTTGACAGTAAGGGCAGGTAGCTGGGAAGAAGGGATGAGAGTCATACTAGGTGGGGGGTAGTGATAAGTTGGGGCTAGAGGAGTAAGGGTGGGAGTTGGGAGATGAGGAGGGACTAGGAAGACGACAGACGACAGGCGAGCCGAGTGTACACGGCAAAGGATGGAGAACTTTCCCACCCTATCCTGCTCACCGCCTCCAGCTCATTCTCAAAGTCCTCATCCTCAGCTCCGATGATGCTGACGGGCATCACGCCAGGCCGGGGAGGCCCTGGGGCCTGCAAGGGGAGACAGGACTTCAATCCCCAGGGCTCCCCTCCTCACAGAGCACCAGAGTCCCCTCACCTTAGATCAGCTCTCCTCCTGGCACTGCACTCACCGCCCCTCCGGCTGCGGCAACTTCTCCCATCTCTGGGACTCCTCCACAGGGCTGCGAGAGGAGGAGCAGCGGTTAGGGGGCTGGCGGGAGGAAGTGCCTGAGGCTGGGCAGTTACTCACTGATTCCTGGCCCAGGTGCGGAAGGTGAGTAAACAGCCCCCCCCCCCTCAGCTGCGTTAGCTCAATGGAGCCTCTGTGTGGCCACAAAGAGCCCTTCACAGGCCAGTTGAGGCGGGGAAACCGAGGGCAGAGAGCTGAGGGGGGGGCGGGTGCTAGAGCCCAGACCATGGGTCCATGGGTGGGCTGGGCGGCTGTGGGTAAAAGCCACCAATTTGGGTCACTAAAGCAGGAAGAACCAGCGACCCAGGGGGCTGGCTAGTCCCTAAAGGGGCAGGACTTTGAAACAAGCAAAATTAATGTAAAGGTCCTTTAGGAGAGTGTAGGAAAAGTGAGTCGGGGCGGGGCAGGGGGGAGCTATCCTCTCATCTGTGGCAGGCCTGAGCCAGGATATTGCCTCTGAACCCACCAGCCCCATTTCCTGTGACAGGAAGTGACAACGGTGAACCCCCAACCTCCAACACCCTCTATGCAAGAAAACAAAACTGAGTCCTTTTCTGTAAGGCCCCCTGAGCTCTTTGAGCACAGCGGTTCCCAGCTTTCAGTTATTGTCCCCGAGAAAAGATGGGAGGTGAACCCCAACAGCCCACTCTCAGGTGGGTGCCTTCCCCTTCAATCCAGTGTGGTAGTGGCTCCCCGGAGTCCCTGTCTCCACCTCTCCTCTCCGACCTGCTCTCCTTCCCATTTCTGCCTGCCCCTCCTTTGGCTCCCTAAGTCTCCTCCCCCACCTCAGTACAGCTGTCCTTCCACAGCTGGTGTCGAGCTCCAGCCCCACACTGTGGTGTCTCATCTTTCTCCATCCCTTGTCTGCCCCATCTCGGTTTGTCTTTCCCATCTTCTCCCTGGGTCCTTCCAGCAGTATCTTCTAGGCCCTAACTGGTCTGACTAGTGCTGTGTAGATCGGGTGTCAGAGAAGGAACTGTGGAAAGAGGGGTGGGGTGGACCAGTGGGGGGTGGGTCCCCACACCCCAAGCTATTTATAACTCTGGCTGCCTGAGACCTGCCCTTCTCCCTCTTCCATGAGCCTCCTCCCTAGCACTCACTCAATAAGCCATAGCTGTGATTCTGGTTTCTGAACAGTGATGCTTCCTGGAGTACCCAGGAGTAATCCTTGGGGGTTTGCCCAAGCAGGCATCATTTGTATCCTTTCTCAGAAACTGTATCTGCCCACCTTAAAAGCTTGGCTAATTTCAAGATTTGAACATTGTTGAGTGCTTAATAAATAAACTTGCAAACCAAGACAGCAAAGTAATAGTAATTATTATGAGAGCTAAACTTATTTATTTATTTATTAATTTATTCATTTATTTCGGAGACAGGGTTCCTCTGTAGCTTGGGAGCCTGTCTGGAACTAGCTCTGTAGACCAGGCTGGCCTTGAACTCACAGAGCTCCACCTGCCTCTGCCTCTTGAGTGCTGCGATTAAAAGTATTCTCCATCACTGCCTGGCATTCCAGGCATAATATTAACTCAGTTTTGTTTTCTTTCTTCAAGACGGGGGAATCTCACTCTGAAGACTGACCTCAGACTTGAGGCCATCCTCCTGTCTTAGTCTCTCAGTTTCTGGTATTATAGGTATGAAGCACTGTGTCCAGCTCTATTAATTCCATTACCTTCCCAACTACAAGCATCCCATGCTATGCTCACCCCTCTGAGAACCTGTGATGGCTTCAAAGACCATCCTGGCCAGCCAGACCTTCTAGGCCAGAAGCAATGACCACAGACCTGGAACTCCCACACTTAGCAATGAATATCTTCAACTGAGAGATCCCAAAGGGCCAAGGAGGGTTTTAGTGTACAGCTCAATGACAATGCTTGTTTGGCATCTAAGAAGCCTTTAGTTCTACCTCTAGCAGCACCAAACAGAGCAACCAAATCAACCAAAGAGAACAAACCCATTTCTCTGAGACCTACACTCATCTTTTCATTCTTTCTTCCTTTCTTTTCTTTTCTTTTCCCCTTCCTTCCTTTCTTTTCTGAGACAGTTTCTCTGTGTAACAAACAAGCCTCTAACTCAGAGATCCACCTGTCTCTGCCTCCCCAGTGCTGGGATCAAAGATGTGTGCCACCACACCTGGCTCTCACATGTGTCTTTCAAATGACCCCTTACCTCTCATGCTTAAGTCTTTATTAACTCATTTCCCCAAAAAGAGAAGCCAAGAAAGGCACACAGTTTGAACAAATGTCCACTGCTAGACCTGATTCCCACACAGCTAACACGCATTATCTCCGTGTTCCTCATCACAATAGCATGGACTAGCTGACATCCGAGGTTTCTCAGTGTGTTGACAGACACAGCAGTGCTGGCGTGTGCACACACACACACACACACACACACACACACACACACACCTCGGTTCAATGCAGGGCTCAGGCTCTGTCGACAGGTGTTCATGCATTTAATCTTCTTACTGACCCAGTCTGGCTTCACATTTTAAACATTTAGCACACTATACAGCTTGTTTTGTTTTGTTTTGTTTTCTGAGACAAGGTTTCTCTGTGTAGCTTTGGAGCCTGTCCTGGAACTTACTCTGTATACCAGGCTGGTCTCGAATGCACAGAGATCCGCCTGCCTCTGCCTCCCGAGTGATGGGATTAAAGGTGTGTGCCACCATCTGGCTACACTGTACTGCTTTGAGGCACCCCCACCCTCAAACACAAACACATCAACCTTAGGACACTAAAATCTGCCATCAATGCTCTGTCATCAATGCCATCTAATGGTGCCTGGGGAAGTCATGTGGCTGCTGTGGCCTCAGCAGTCACCCAGGATGGACCCAGCAGCTCCAGAAGCCTGGGCTTCGAGAGGGAGGGTTTGAAAATTAGGATACAGGTAAAGCTGGCAAAATGAGACAACTGACAAAGTCTCCTTTGTCCGGCAGATGGAGCACTTTGCACTTAGGGCTGGTGTGTGTGGGGGGTGAGGGCAGGTTTAGGTTTATGCAGTGGGGGTCTGGTGAAGTAAGAACATAAGGGCGCCTGAGTTTTAAGGATTCAGGGTCTCCAAGTCTTTCGATTGGATTGTTCAGGTCTCCAAGAACCGCTAGGAAAAACCTAAATGAGGCCTATGGAATGTATATGACCCAAGAATCTATTTGATAGAGCGGGCCTCAAGAAACCAGATAGATGATTTTAAAGGTTTATGGGACCTCGATAGGGGTGTGTGCTGAGTTTTGTAGGACCCTGCATTGATCTAGGAGAAGCCTGTGTTTATTAAAAGTCGGGTTTCCGTGAAAGGCTTCCTGAAACCTGAAAGGTATGTAAGATCTTATAACCTATGTAACGTGGCGGTCTTCACGAGCACTAAATCTTACACCGGACGTGGCTAATTTACACGGGCGCTCAGTACTACAGCGATTGTGGCAGTATGGATGGCAGGAAAGACGTGCAGGGTCAGGTTTGACGGCAGCCAAGGCTGCGGATCTCACCTGTCGGATGGGATGAGAAGCCACAGCAGCCTCCGGAACCGAAGCCTCCGCGCCTGAGCTCAAGGTTCCCCCACCCGCGCCGCAGAGTCGCTCTAGCCGAGCCAGAGGCCACCTTTGCGTCCAGCTCCACTCCTCCCTCTGGCCGCTCTAGCCCGCCTCCTGCCACTCTCCGGCCTCTGCAACTCTACTCCTCCTGCCGGCCGCTCTATCTCTCCACGGCGCCACGCTGGCCCGATAGAGCCACTCTGGCCCGTCTTGGAGGGCCCGCGTTTCCGTATCTCGACTGCCTCTGTCACTCTCCCGGGCCCCACCCCCTTTGCGGGAGTGGTGGATGGTTCCAGCGCCAGGTTAGCGCTCAATCTCGGATCTCCAAGTCGCTCAGGTGCTAAGTGCCTACTCGGACCTCGTGTGGGGTCTTCCCACCTTGTCTACCTCCCCACCTCGGACCTGTTAAATTCCCAACGCTGTATACCGGCTCCCTCTGTCACCCCTGTCAAGTCCTCCCGCTGTACTTGGAAAGCAAAGCAAAACAAAACAAAAAACACCCATGCGCTTGAATATATCTTTCCTCCCGACAGATTAACCTGCAAAAAGCAATGGCTTCCCCTTAGGACTCAGTCTTTCCATCTGTTCAGTGCGGATGTTTCCGGCTCTCTCCCCTACAGCCATCTCCCAGAGTATATAATTAACCCAGAAAAAAAAAAAAGCTTTCTGAGACGTTTTCAACGATCTGTAACTCTCAGCTTCATAATGGCCCGCAGAGATACTGTTTATTTTAGGTACTTCTAATTAAGCATCCATGATCTCTACGACGAGGAGGTCCGACTCCTTGGACCTCAGATTCCCAACTGGTAAATGGGTGTTATCGTTCTGAGCTGCGCTGAACAGTGGGTAGTCTGGGTCCCAGTCTATTTCATCTCTATCTGCTGTGCACTCGACAAATCTCTCTCTCTCTCTCTCGTTTTGTTTTTCTTTTTCAGGCAGGGTCACGCTAGGTTGCCTAGGCTGGCCTCGAACTCAGGGCAATCTTCCTGCCTCTGCTTCCCAAGTTCTGGGATGACAGGCGAGCGCCACCACGCCGGGCTTTCTCTTTGCTCTCTTTGACAGATGAGAAAACTGAGGCCCGAGGAAGGGAGGCTTGCAGGCTCACTGTCCCCCACCTCCGAGGCCCTCGGCGCCGGGCCCCCTCCCTGCTCCCCCCCCCCCCCCCCCCCCGGCTGTCGAGGGGGAGGAGGCCGGGCGGGGCCAGGGACGATGTACCTGGTGTCCGCGCGGGGAGGTGACCGGCGGGACGCCCGAGGTCGGGCTCGGCGATCCGGAGCCCGGCGTCCCGGCTCCAGCTTCCTGGCTCCAACGGGCAGGAAGTCGGGGCGTTTTTCCGGAGCCCCCGCCCGCCGCCCCTCCCCGCTTCCTGCCGGCGCCCCGTGCCCGCCCGGCACCTCGGCTTCCTTCCCCTTCTCTCTCACTCGCCCGGCTCCTCCTTTCCCCGCGGGTGCGGCCCCACCCGGCCCCGCCCGGCTCCCCTTCTTTGCCTTTGTCCTCCTCTGCTGTCTACTGCCCTGCTGCTGCCCAGCTCCTGCCCTGGCCCTTCCTCTTCTCTTTCTCTTCTTAGTTTGAGACAAGAACTCACTGGGTAGCCCTGGCTGGCCTTGAACTCGCTTAGTAAACCAGGCTAGCCTCGAACTCACAGAGATCCTCCCGTCTCTGCCTCCGGATTGTAGAGGTTAAAGTTAAAGGCGTGCACCACATGTCAAAGCTCCACTCTCTTGACCCAGCACTTTCCCCGGAAGCTGTTTTCCTCCCTGGCCTCTGCTTCTTCACCAGCCCTTCTGCTCCTTTTATCACTGTGAGTCCTTTTCTTGCCGCTGGTCTCTTTCATCCTCCCAGACCTTAGGCTTTGTCCTTTTCCCAACTGTTGTTATCCCTCAGGCTGGGCTCACTGGACAGCCAGTTCATGTCTGCTTCTCGCCTTGCCTTCTAGCTCTGTGTCCCTGTCTCTTGGGATTCCCGTGTTTCCTCTTTGCTTCATTCCTGCCCTTCACTGCCTTTCTGCATCTGCTCTTCCCATGTTAGTGCCACTGGGTCACACCGCTGTGCATCTCTCCACCATCCCCAGGATCTTGACAGAAACACTCTAAATCTGCCTAGACAAATTAACCCAGGAGGGAATTAGGTCCGACCCCCAGGAAATAATACCTCGTGTTTTCAGAGTTTAAATATGCATAATAATTTGGTAACACCCCCCTGGTTCCCCCTTTCTTAGGGACACAGGGAGGGTGAGGCCCTATAAAAAGCTAAACCAGCCCTTCATTTGGGGTGGGGACTTCCCCAAGAGACTTCCTGTTTCTTGGAGGGATGGGGGTTGGGGGGCAAGACAGACTGTCTAGTCCCAGATGTCAGAAGTAGGCAGGTGAGAGCTTAGGTCTGAGGGAGGAAGGGAGCTTGGGCTTCCTGCTCCCGGTTGCCTGGCACTGTTGAGGAACAGTCCTCATGAGATCCATGACTCCTGCCAAGGGCTGCTTTAGGAAGGATTTATTAGCACTTAAGTGGCCATGACAGATCTGGGAGGAGGGGGTGACACTAACGAGGCTGCTGTAATCAGCTCCCCTAGAGGCAGCGATTAAGGGCTCATTACCCACTGGAGAGGGAACCCGGGACAGACTTGGGGAAGGACAAGATTAGGTGGGAGAGTAGGGTGGGGTAGTCTGGAGGCAAGGGTGGGACACTCTGGAGGGACAAAGACTGGGAAGGGGAGACTCCAGGGGAAGAGAAGTGAAGCAGGGATATGGCAGGTGGGGACTGACAGCACAGCAGGATGGGGGATGTCAGTCACGGCTTTTCCAGCTGGACATCTCCAATGTGGAGACTGCCCACATCCTGGTAGGTGCCCTGGAGTCCCCTGGAGATGTCCTCATACATAGAGCAGTCATCAAGATTCAGGCCCTGCAAGGGATAGAGAGTAGATATCAGTACCCTGGCAGCTGCGGTCCCTGTTCCCAGTCAACCCCAGAGTTCTCACTGCAGACGTCCCCCCTCTCCCTGTACACCGACCCCCACTGCAGCACCACCCCATCCAGTGCCCACCTCATAAAGATTTTCATCTTCATAGTCATCTGGCATGTCCACACCAAACTTCTCGTTCTGCCACCGCTTCTGTAGGTGATGAGATAGCCTCAGTGAGCAAGGGGAAGGTGAAGGGTTTTTCAGACCCTCACACACCAGCAAGTGCTTTATCAGAAAGTAGAATGGACAGGGGGCTAGGGAGATGGCTCAGAGGTTAAGAGCACTGGCTACTCTTCCAGAGGTCCTGAGTTCAATTCCCAGCAACCACATGATGGCTCACAACCGTCTATAATGAGATCTGGTGCCCTCTCCTGGCCTACAAGGATACATTCAGGCAGAATACTTTATACATAATAAATAAATAAATAAATCTTTTTTAAAAAATTATTTATTTATTTATTACGTATACAATATTCTGTCTGTGTGAATGCCTACAGGCCAGAAGAGGGCACCAGACCCCATTACAGATGGTTGTGAGCCACCATGTGGTTGCTGGGAATTGAACTCAGGACCTCTGGAAGAGCAGGCAATGCTCTTAACCTCTGAGCCATCTCTCCAGCCCTAAATAAATAAATCTTTAAAAAAAAAGGAAGGGACATGCCCAAGGCCACATATTGGGAATCTTGGCAGATTCTGTTCTCAGATCCTCTCCTCTCTTTCTCCTTGTGGGTTCTCCTGCATCACTTTCCAAGGAGTGCTGGATATGTTTGCTACTATATTCCACTAACTTCCTCAGCTTTCTATCTAGCATGAGATGCTGGGAACTCACGAGGTGGACTAGGCTGGCCTTGAACTCCCAGAGATCTACCTGCCTCTGCCTTCTGAGTGCTGCTGGGATCAAAGGTCTAATGCCACCATGCTGGCCCGCTACTGTTCTCCAGTGCTGAGGAGTATAATAGTAAGCCGGAAGTGGCGGTGAATATCTGTAATCCCAGTCCTTGGCAAGCTGAGGCAGGAGGATTGTGAATTCCAGACCAATATGATCTATAGAATGAGTTCTGACCCAGCCTGAATTACTTAGCAAGATCCCGTCTTTTTAACCTCCCCACTAAAAAGGAAAGAGAAAACTGGTGGTGGAAGCACATGCCTGTAATGGCAGTACTTGGAAGGTGGAGAGAATCAGGCCAGCCATGGAGATAACAGGTCTGAGGCTAGCCTGGACCAGGATCTGTCGTGAAAGAGAGAGAGACAGAGACAGAGACAGAGACAGAGACACAGAGAGAGAGAGAGACAGAGAGAGACAGAGAGAGAGACAGAGACAGAGAGACAGAGAGACAGAGACAGACAGACAGACAGAGACAGACAGAGAGACAGAGAAAGAGACACACAGAGAGAAACAGCATTTGGGAGGCAGAGGCAGGCAGATCTTTGTGAGTTCCAGGACAGCCAGAGCTGTTACACAGAAAAACCCTTCTTCGAAAACAAAGGAAAGGAAAGGAAAGGAGAGGAAAGCAAAACAAGTCTGGGAGATACACAGCTGGTAAATCTGTTGCCATGCAAACCCGAGGACATGAATTTGGTCTGGGCATCCTAAGTGGAAGGAATGAAGGGACTCCAGAAAGTTGCTTTGTGACCCTGCACACTCACATGCCCAAACTCTCCCACCCACTATCCATGTACACACACCGATGAGAAATAAAGAAGGGCAGGCAGGCATGGTGGCACACACCTTTAATGCCAGCAGAAGAAATTGAGAGGCAGAAATAGACAGATTTCTGGGACTTCAAGGCCAGCCAGGGTTACACGGTGAAACCTCATCTAAAAACATTAAAAAAAAAAAAAGTTGCCTTGTGGCCTAGGGAGAAGTAGAGGCTCTGAGGGGACACTGGTCCCCTTTGTCCCTGGTCTTGGCTGCATTTGCAGGGGACTGCTCTTCAGGCAGGGCAGGAGGAGAGGGAGAAGGCATCTAGAGAGGGTCAGTGGGGACATAGTGACACCCCTTGAGCTTAGTATCACTCACAATTTTCTTGCTACATTAGGGGGTACTCTCAATCTTCCAAATTTTGGAGGAGAAACCTCAGAATCTAGAGGACCAGCTAGACACTGGGAGTCAAGGTCCAGGCCCAGGCAAGCCCAGATGACTTGTGGGGTGTCACTTGGGGAACTCACCCTGAAGAGTAGCAATGTCCCTGGCACTACTGCACAGAACAGCAGGATGATGCCCTCGGCTGTGATGATACGGTTCTTGGTGCCTTCCCCCATGTCCAGGAAGGGTCTAGGGATTGGCTCTGTGAAGACAGAGAGTCTCAGTATCCCCTCCTCTCTCAGCCATGCCCCTTGTGAGGTCAGGGAGCCCCGAAGCCACCATCTTGCCCGGTGAAAACCTGTGTGCTGCTAGTTCATGTCCAGGAGGGAGGAACTGGTTCTGCTCGCAGGCAAGCAGTGTTGTGGATGGAGCAGGGAACCCGAGGGGCAGCGTCCCTTGCTACTCACTACGCACTCGAAGGTAGGTGCCGCAGGAGAATTTCCGCTTGCCATTTTCTTCCACGTGGCAGCTGTAGAGGCCCCTGTGGCTCTTGTTTACATTGGGGATGACCAGCTCACTTCCGAGCCCCTGACCATAACCCATAAACACTGGGGGGATGGAGTTGTTGGAGTTGTACACAAAACTGTACCACCACGTGATATTAGGTTTGTTGCCATTGTGCTTGCAGGCGAGGCGGGCCTCATCCCCCAAGTTTACTGTCACTGATGGTGGAACGTCTATCTTCAGGGCCTGGCATCCAGGGCCTGTGGAGAGACAAGAAGAGATAAGTAAGTCAGACACTGGACATGGCCCTGACTGCCCCGATCCAGAGCCCTTCACACCAGTGCTCTTGGGAGTGGAGTGGTCCCGATGGTGATGACACCTCTAGAAAGAGAGTAGATGCTGGGAGAGCCACCTTGTAGCTTCTTGCCACCATTGCTCCATTGCATTTTGCTTTCCTAACACCAGCAGGGTCCTGCTGTAGAGAGCTCCCCAAACCCTCTCAGGGACTTCCCTTTCATTGGGAAAGAATGAGAGCCATTATTCCCAGCCCTTAGGAACCTCCACTGGCCCTGGGATAAGGGCCCAGTTTAGACCCAGGGTGGGCAGGGCCCAGCATCACTCCCTCTATTGGAAGAGGTGGTACTCCCCTCCTGCAGCCTCCCTGAGTCTGTCCATTTGTGCCTAGGCTGTTTCTGCCTCTGCAATTTAAATGTCAACTTAGGGATCAGGGGCTGAACTCTGTCTGGGGGGAGGGAGGTCTGAGAGACAAGGGTGGACTGGTGGCTATGGTGTCCACTCTGTGTTTATCTTTTTTTTTTTTTTTTTTGAGAAGCATCTTAGCTCACTCTGTGTTTATCATGAAAGCCCCTGTTATCAGCTTCCCCAGGACCACATTGGCTTGTGGCCACCTTCCTGGACATAGCAGGAAAGAGGAAGGCCAGAAGTGAGGAAGAAAAGCTGGAGAAAGAAGAAGCTGGGCAACTTCATGGTAAAGGGCTCAGACAGCCCTTGAGCACTAGAGTGATGACCTTCCCCTCTTAAAGCCTAGGTCAGTGTGGTCACACTTGGGTGGGGGAGGGGAATGGAGTTTGATGAGACACGCCCTCCCTTTCCCTCCCTTAGTCCACACTTACCTCAGTTCCTCATTCTGACTTATGGAGACGTGATTTTGTGTTGTGGGGCATGGTGGGCTTGGGCCTAACAGTGGACTTTCCTGAGCCTCCTCCAACCCATCTGATACAGAAAGCTTCTTCCTGCCCCCCACCCGCCACCCCGCTGGTTCCCTGTTGTTGCTCCTTTTCTGAATAGGTCTCAGTAAGTTGTCCAGGCTAGCCATGATAGGATAGAACTCATTATGTAGCCCAGGCTGGCCTCAAATGCAGTATTCTTCCCTCCTGCTTCAATCTCCTGAGTTCTGGTATTACTTTAAAGGTAATGCATGAAGGTATGCATCAACCTGTCTGGCTTCCCTCAGCTTCTGGCTCCACTATCCACCCCTCCCGTCAGCGGTACCCCCAGCCCCTCTGCACCCCAACGCCAGTACCTTGACTTTGGCCACATTACCTAGGCAGGCTTCTGCCAGAAAGAGAAGAAGGAAAGGCAGGACTCCGAGACCCTCTGACATTTTCTACCAGTGGGTTGGTTAGTCTGGGTTGCAGTAGCCCTCGGGTACCAGATTCCACGCCAAACTCCGCCTCACTTCCTGTTTGGCCCCGGACGGAGATGGGCTCCAGTGGCCCTTATTTGCCATGTGTTTCAGGCATTGAGTGCTGAGGAACAGTGCTGCACCTGGGCCGGCCACAATTCCCTTGAGTCTCTAGTGCTGGGGTGGGGCAGAGGCTGGTTCAGGCCGCTGAACCTGCAGAAGGATCCTGGGAGCCTCAGCTTTGGCTTCAGATCTCATTAACACTGGGCAAACCTGTCAACTCCCCCGACCCTTTTCTTTCCGACCCTACCTTTTCTCTTTTTCAGGAGAGGTTGGTCTTGAATTCACTATGCCGGTGAAAATCTTTTTGTTGTTGTTTATTTATTGTCACCTTTTATTTTTTTTAATCAGTGAAGCTTTATTTATTTAATGTACGTGAGTATTTGCTTTCATGTATGTATGCATGTGTGCCATGTGTGTGCCTGGTGCCAGAAGAGGGCTACAGATCCCCTGGAGATGGAATTGCCGCCACCGCCATCTGGGTGCTGGAAATTGAACCAGCTACTGAAGATGCCCTTGAGATCCCGAGCCTCTGCCTCTGCCTTTTCCTCACTATTGCTATTACAGATGTGGTCCACCAAGCCAGGTTTTCCTTTCATGATGTTGGGGATAAAACTGGGATCTCTTGCCTGCCAGGTGACTGCTCCACCACTGAACTACACCCCAGCCGTGGAGGGCAAAGTAGACCATCTTCCACTTTACAGAGGAGGAAACCCAGGCTCAGTGAGGAGAAGCAACCACTTTCCCGGTGCTGTCCAGTCTGTGGTGGAATGGACTCGCTGAGGGTGTGCTGGCTCATACCTGCAAACCCAGCCTTTGGGAGGCTGTGGTGTAATGAACTGAGAGGCTTGCCTGGGCTACATAAGAAACAGGCAGATGGTGTGTGTGTGTGTGTGTGTGTGTGTGTGTGTGTGTGACAGAGAGTTCACTGGCCATCCAGGTTAGCCAGTATATTGAGCTCCAGAGAGCCTGTTTTCGTTTTGTTTTAAAGGTGAGGGACTGGTCAGCTCAGTGATTAAGGGCACTCATTTCTCTTGTTGAGGAACTAGGTTCAATTCTTAGCATTCACATGGTGGTTTGCAATCATACATATAAATACTAAATAAAAAAAAATAACAACCTAAAAATATTTTTCTTTTTCTTTCTTTGAGACCGGTTTTCTCTGTAGCCCTGGCTGTTCTGGAACTCACTATGTAGACCAGGCTGGCCATAAACTCGGAAATCCTTTTAAAATTTTTTTTGAAGCTAGGCAGTGATGGCCCACTCCCCCCCTCCCCCCCAAAAAAAGAAAAAAAATCTGTTTTATACCCAGGGAAATGGAGCGATTGAGAAATAGTTAGGCATTTTTCACATATGTGAAGACATGGCAAGAGAAATCATTGAAATAGCTGTATTGGCATATGTCTATAATCCCAGAATTTGGGAGGCTGAGATGGATAAAGGCAAGTTCTAGGCCACCTGGTGACTCAGACTCTACCTCAGACAAACCAAACCAAATCAAAACAAGCCAGGCAGTGGTAGCCCATACCCTTAATCCCAATATTTGGCAAGCAGAGGCAGGCGGAGCTCTGTGAGTTTAAGGCCAGCCTGGTCTACACAAGGCCAGCCTGGTCTACACAGTGAATTTCAGGTTGACTGACACTGCAGACTCTCTTCAGACAAAACCAATCAAAATAACAACAAAAGAGGGCAGAGGCATAAGACCCTGTCTCAACAAACAAAGAAACCCAAAACCAGGCTGGAGAGACAAGATGGCTCAGCTGAGTAAGAGCACAAACAGCTTCTGCTGAGGACCTGAGTTCCATGCCCCACACTCACATGGTGGATTACAACTGTTTAAGTCCAGTTTCAGAGGGTCCAGCACTCTTCTGAAGTACATGTGGGCTCACGCACACATGTAACACACACACACACACACACACACAATACCTCCCCAAGTAGAAAAATAAATGAAAATAATTCGAGCTGGGCGGTGGCGGCACGTGCCTTTTGTTATGCCGAGATCAGGAGTCCCCACAAAACCAACCAGGAGACCAAGTCCTGTATGTAAAGGACTTTATTTTCACACAAGTCTGCAAATGCCCAATGTATTGCAGTGATTGGAGAGCCCCAGCTCAGGTAGAGTTGGGTTTTAATAGTAGCAAAGGTGGGGGTGGTTGAGGGATTTCTAAGGTTTAGGACCCCTGATTGGCTGACATTTATCTAGGGATGTTCTGGTGAAAAGCAATGGGTTTGTGCAGGCAGGTGTGATCCTGTCTACAATGGTTGGAACTTTAGGAATTTCCTTTGGATGGTCTGTTCCTGGGTGGTGCCTGGGTAGTCTCAGTTTGTGGTCTTTATCAGAACCAGGTATTGCCGCAGGGTAAGCAAACTGCTGAGACTCAGGCATCTATTGAGCTTGTCATGGTTGGGTCCTACACCTTTAATCCTAGCATTTGGGAGGCAGAGACAGGCAGGTGAATCTCTGAGTTTGAGGTCAGCTTTGTCTACATAGTCAGGAAAGAAACCCTGTCTTGCAAAACCAAAACCAACCAACTAAACAAGAACAAAAAGAGAAAAAG